AGATATCAAACTCTTTAAATGCTATCAAAATGTTTTTATGTATCTCACCCAGAGTAAAGTAATTGTAATTGAAAGTAATTGTTATTTGAAATCAGAATAATATCAGAATAATTTGTAAGGGTTATTTGAAAGCAGTATGCTTACAAATAACCCTTAAAAATTATTCTGTGCAAAAAAAAAAAAAAAATTTTGAGCAGATTTTTTTTGTGTGAAAAAAGATGGTTAAATTTGGATTTCCTCATATTACTGATTTGATTCATAACTCAATTTGATTCGCAAATCAAGACCTGATTGATTCGAAACTAAAAATGCAGATTCACAGGGCTTTAATACACACACAAACACACACGCAAACACACACACACACACACACACACACACACACATATATATATAGTTACAGATTTTTACTGGATTTTTAGATGTATGAGCTTTGACACTTACAGGCATTGTGCAAACTACAAACTTTTTCATATTCATGCCTATGTCAAATGAGAATGTTTTGCAAAGGATTGCGTTGATTGGAGCTTGGAAACAAAAAAATTGTAATTTTTGGGGCCTACCCAGTCCTTAACGTGAGAGCAATGAGTTTATAAAATATTTTCTCTACTATTTTAATTTCATCATGCAATAATCTCTAATTTTTCTAAAATTATAACTATATAAAGTTTTAACCGCCCATAATTTGAGGGGGCTGTAAACTTTGCAGGGTCATAAAAAGATGTTATTGCATGAAATTTGAAATTTGTTAATGGATATAAATTTAGATAAAAATAGTAAAGAAAATATTTTACTAACTCATTGTTCCCACATTGACTGGGTAGGCCCATTAGAGGTTTTTTGTTCCCAAACTCCAATCACCACAATTCTTTGCAAAACATTCTTATTTGACATAAGCGTGAACATACAAAAGTTAAAGTTTGCAATGTCTATAAGTGCCAAAACTTAAACATCTAAAAAACCAGTGTACACCTCTGAGTTAATTAAATTAAACAAAGCCACAGCTACAACCAAAGCAGCCAGGCATAGTAAGCGAACGGGGTTAATATGTGACCGGGGCAAAAATATCCTAAAATAAATTTCATAAGATGAATTTATTGTAAAATTGCATTTACATTTAAAATGTAAGTAACTTTTTAATTGTAATTTTAATTATTAGAATTACATAGTTGAGCTATTCAAGTATTTAAATGTAAAGAAATTGATAAATACTAAAAAATAGTTAATTTTTTTTTGTTAGCCCCGGCTAGTAACCCCTGCAAATTTTGTTTGTTTAGCCGGGGCCGGGTTTGCAAAAACCTCTGTTTTTAGCCGGAGCCAGGGACCCGGTCACTTACTAGCCAGGCATTATATGTACACTCCATAACAAACATAAAACATGCAATACAAAACCTTCCACATATTGTTCTATCTGATGGAATCCAAATCATCCTGCAAGAACAGTACAGTTTTAATTTAAATTCCTTTGGAGAGCATCTACGGCTTGCACTATTTGTAAGTGGAAAAGGAGTTATTAAATTATTTATTAAACAGGAAAGGGCATGATTTCTTAACTTTGTTTGATCAAACCAAATATCTTCTATAGGATACCTGTTTTGTGATAAAATAAATTCAATAAAGGCTATTGAAAACAAACCACAATCAATACCACCATCTTGTTGCTGTACTGAAAGCACTTTTACTGTAATCTCATCTTTTTTGTACTTTAAAAGGGCACATATTTGTTTTTGTGTTTCAAGGCTTAAACACCCATGAAAGTTACTATCAAGCACATTTATTTCACCATATGAACAACCATATGTACTGATGGCAAGCCAATGGTAATCCCCATTATATATAATTTGTACAAATGGTAAATAACCAATAACATCAAACTTTAATAATTGTCCCAATATGGGATCTTGAAGTCCATTTGCATAAGGGTTAGCTTTCTTTAACATATCTTGAAAACATTTAATAACTATATCAGATAACATTCGATTTTTCGAAATGTCTTCAAAATCTTCTTGTGAAAGTAAAGAATAACTTTTTTCAAATAAAACTGATTTTCCTAAATAATTATTTGTAAAAGAATTTGTTTGAAAAGTTTCTTCACCAGTTATTTGATCTTCAGTAATAACTGATTCCTGCACTGGTGCTTCATAAAAATTACTTTCAATTTTTATTATAGAGGCTACCATCAACTTTTCTTTTTTTTCACCCACACGATTGGAATACAATTTTTTTTAACAACAGGTAAATCAACTATATTTTTTTGTTTTTTGTGTACATAATCATGCATACCATAACCTGAGCTTAATGGTAGACCTTTCTCTTTTTTTCTTGCTTGATAAAGCTTTTTAAGTACATTTGAAAGTGTTTCATTTTTTATGGTTGCTAGCATTTCGCGGACTTCAGAGGCTGTAGAACTTCTTTTTCTTGCACTATCTTTATATGGATTTATCGTTGTTGTACTGCAAATAGTGTCATTAATTAAGTTGAAACTATTATGATTCACAAGGTTACACTTGATTATATTTGATTTACTTAATACAAAATCATTAGTGAATGTGTCAATATTTAAAAATGGAGAACTTCTATATAAAGACGATATAGACTCCCATCCCCATGTTAGTGGGTACTTTCTAAAAATTATAAAAAAGTGTTTGCATAGATAGGAAGATTTAAACCAATCATTACATGAACATTTTGGCATGTTCTTCTCATCGCCAAAGTTAACAAGGTAATTTTTGTTTGCAATAGAAAAGCTATTGACTACAAATACTCCAGGATCTTTCATTTGCACTTTATTTAGATCAGTGTTGTTAGCCAAATTTTGCTTCGCTAAACAATGCTTAATAAAATGGTGTGGCCTATTTATCAAGTATTCAGGTACATTAGAATTGTATTGTTTAAATCGACAATCCATTTTGTAATTAGATTCTAAATATCTTAAAAAATAAGAAAAAAATAAATTAACTAATATATATATATATATATATATATATATATATATATATATATATATATATATATATATATATATATATATATATATATATATATATATATATATATATATATATATATATATATATATATATATATATATATATATATATATATATATATATATATATATATATATATATATATATATACATATAAATATATATACATATAAATATATTTATATATAAACACAAAAAAAAAAAAAAAAAAAATTAATAAACTCCTTCAAATCAGGCTACAATAAAACTTTTTAATATACTTCTCAAATTTATCTGCAAAAAACTCTTCTATTAAATGAGTAAGCATTCCAGTAATTGATGAACTTTTATGTCTTTGAAGATAAGAATATTTAAAAGATTCATGTTGCCTTTCAATTCCATTGTTGGTATTAAGGTTTATTAAAAACCGATCCTGACGATACCCCCATATCCATTTCTAGATAAAAATAATAACACTTGTTTTTGCAGATTTACATTGACATGAGTTTAAGTTAATCTTGTTTTAACCATAAATTAATGCTTTAAAATTTGCAATACTTGTGTTATGTATAGCAAAAAATGTTAAATAATGTTAAATTTGGGATAATAATTATAATGTTAAATATATACTCACTTCTTTAATTTGTAACCAATAATTAGTAATATATTTCTTAAATTTATGAAATTTGTTGTCCAACCAAAAGTTGGAACATTTTAGCTTAACTATTGCTGCATCTGCCATCTTTTCATTTTGTGCCCATGCAATATTTCGTAGCATTGAAATTATTGAGTCTTTAAATTCTGAGCAGTTGTTTGTTTTTTTGACAATCCAGCGATGCCATGCCTGCTCTCTATGGAAATCACATATAAGAACACGGCAACCTAAAAATAATTCTCTATATTTTAAAATAAGATAAAACGAATAAAGATGAGTTACACAACGAAAAAAAAAAAGAGTTTCAAGTGAACTAAAAAATGACAACAGGAAACGGTTCAAAATATTCTATTAAATGGTTTACATTATTTATTTTATTTATTACATTATTTACTTTCAAATGTATATTTAAACTGTCATACTATTTATTAACAAATGAAAACTATTAAAAACTTTAGTTATACCTGGAAAAACAGCTTCTAATGAATTCATTTCTTCAGTACAATAATCAGTCATGCAAAAGGAAGGTTGAAAGGATGGGTTCCAATCTTTTATTATGTGAAGCGCTTCTGTGATGGCTTGTTTTGTTTCACATTCAATAACAAAACTGGCTACTATTTGGTAGTCAAAATTAGTTTTTACAGTTAAAAAGAAGAGAGGAAGAGAATATCTGGTAGTCCTGTATGTGGCATCAAGTAGCAGTATCTCAGTTCCATAGCGCATGAGAAGGTGTTGTTGCCACTGTGACTGATAAACAAATAAAAATGAACATTTATCACCACCATCTTCGCCACTACAGTTTGGTCTAAGAAACACTTTGACAGACGGACCACATTTTTTCCATTCTTCACATTTTATCAAAAGACATTCTTGGTCAATCATGGAATGCCTTTATAAATAGAAACAACAACATTAATAAAATGAAAGTTTTAAAGATTACTTTAAACATAAATCAAGTTAACGTCTAATTTAGTAAAACAAATCATTTCATATGTATAATTTATTCTAAGAAATATTCAACATTTGTGATTTACCGTAACTTTTTTTTAATTTTTACTATATGTGATCTTATGGTTGCAGTGTTGGGATAGAATCTTCTGCTATTCGAAGGAGGAAGATTTTCATTTCCAAAAGTATCTTTTACTGTCAAACGAAGGAGGTGCTTCATTTCCCTTATATTGTATATTCCTTCTATAACATATTCTTCACTCTTTTTTGAAATATAAGGATCGATTATTTGAGACATTAGTTCTACCTAATTTAAAAAAATATTTAATATGGTAAATTAATTAATAAACTACAGTACTGTTTTAAACCTTTTTGCAAGTACAAAGTGTATACAAAAATTTTATTTTTACCTTTCCAATAGGGTGTTTATCATGACATGATAAATCATCAATAGCTACAACAACTTTCCGAATATAAGGTTCTTCATTTAAACATGAAAATTTTAATTTTTCTTTCAATAGTTTTGATGCTTTTTTTTTTGTGCCAAGCTGAATGCTTAGGTATCTAAATTAAAACAATAATACAAAAACAATAAGGGCTAAACTGAGTTTATAGAGGGACTTAGTCAAGAAAGTTGAGTGAGACACCTAAAACTTAATCCTGTTTCAATAAAGGCATATTTTTAAAAAGTTACATCTTTCCACTAACCTTAGGCGACCCTTTAATCCGATTCAGGGCTGCTTTATGTCACACCACCATACATTACAAAATTAAAAAAGGCATGTTACCTATAATTTAGTTACTCAAACCTTGAAATCAGGAAATTGTAATATTTCTCTCATTACTATCTTTGCAGGACACATAAACTTTTTTGTATCTTGCAGAATCACATAATTTTTCTGAAAGCTGTGATCATCCATCTAAAAGAAACAAATGATAAAAGAAGACTTTTATTTAATGGGCACCACTTTTGGAATGTTGTTTATTTGTTTAAAATAGTGATGTTTTTTTTTTAAACTCTATGGTATTAGAGAAACAAGAAAAAAAAATTTAATTGAGTATGAAAGATAAAAGTGATAATATTACCTTGGCATTTTTTTAATTTTTTTTATAACTATTTTTCGCTGAAATATTCCTATCAAAACCATGATGACAATCTAAAATTTTGTGACCAACAACCATATGAGGTATGCCTGAATACTGAATGGCATAATCTTCCCATAGAACATTATGATTTTTTGCAATCATTTCTATAAAAAAATATATAGTTTTTGGAATGTGATTAAACTTATTAAAAAATTATATAAAAGCAACACAAACAAATTTATTATAAAAAAGTGTATTATATATATATATATATATATATATATATATATATATATATATATATATATATATATATATATATATATATATATATATATATATATATATATTTATTAATTATAAGTTATTATTAAAACCTTATTATTATATATAAGTATATTATTACTTATATATATTAACAACATTATAATTATATATAAGTATATTATTACAACCTTAAAAAAACAAAACATATATATATATACATATATATATATATATATATATATATATATATATATATATATATATATATATATATATATATATATATATATTTTATATATATATATATATATATATATATATATATATATATATATATATATATATATATATATATATATATATATATATATATAAATATATATATATATATATATATATATACATATATATATATATATATATATATATATATATATATATATATATATATATATATATATATATATATATATATATATATATATATATATATATATATATATATATATATATATATATATATATAATAAAACATTTTATTCTGTATTATAGATATATAATGCTAACTTTGGCATATATTTATTCAGCGCAATTTAGTTCATAAAAATCATTAAAAATGTTATGAACTCTAAGTATTTCTAGAAACATTAAATAAATTAAAAACAAATGACGAAATGAGATTGATATTCATTTTTAATATTTTTAGTTATGATAAAGATAATCTTGCATTTAAAGAAACTATTTTCATATTTAAGCCAAGTAATTTTATGTTAATCAAAAAAACATGTCACGAAATCATTGCTTTTACATTGCAAATATTTGTGTAATGCAAAATGATTTTTTTTCAAAACTAGGTCACTACAAACTATAGTTTACCTGTTATTCCAAAGTCCTTGGTTACACTATAGACAACAAATCTTGTTGTAGTTGCTAACTCATAATTTTTCACACAGTTTAATGCTTCTTCATGCGAATTACAATGATAAATTAATTTTTTTTTTCCTTCTATAAAAATTAAAATCAAATTGATCAGTATACTTTCAGTGAATATGAAAATAGACTATAAAAACTATTTTGAATATTTCTTACAACAAAAAAAAAGGCACACTAAATGATATCACAAACCTTTGTATAAAGTTTTGTGATATCATTAGAAAAAAGTTCAATAAATGTGTTCAAGAACTTTAAATAAAGAACTTTAAATAAAAAATAAGTAAAGAACTTTTTAGGCATAAAAAAAAGACTATATTAAAGTACTAGACCTAGCACTTAATGTACTGTCAATTTAACTGTTAACTGCTACAAAAACTTAGTTTATCTTACAAAAAACTAACTAATTTTAAACTTTAGATAATAATTTTAAATCACAAACAGTTGCAAAAAAAAATTCTATATGACGACAATTTTTTTGTTTTGATTGTTCTTGTGTTGTCCATTTAAATAACATATATATGCTACTGACACCATTTTTTCTTTTTTTTTCCTATAGAAGAAATAAGAAAAAAACTGGCAGTTTTTGTACGGTAACAGTGACTAAAAACATACCATAAACAATATCACGTGTAGGTAAACAATTATTTTCAATGATACTCAAAGTTTGTTCATAGACTTCTAAATTAAAAAATATGTCAATAACTATATAATTATTTATTGCATTTATTTTGTTTATAACATTGTTATAAACAAAAAACAATGTAATAAGTTTTGCATTTATTAAACTGAAAATGTTTATATATTAAGTTACCTTTTATATTTCCGCTTTCTTCATCAGAGCTTATTTCATCAGAACTGCTGAAATTCAAATTTTCGCCATACATAGATAAATCCATAATCTTTGTTTTTGTTTGCTTTAATAATAATCCTTAGTATTTAATATTACGTTTCCTCGTGCAATTATTTGCTGTTTTGCATTAACTCAAACAAATAATAAAGTTAACGGCCACCGAAAACATCGACCTACTTTAGAGTTATGTTAACGTCTGCTAACCGGTCAAGTTGTTAAAACGAAGAACTTTATGCGTGGTCATATAAGGCGTGCGATCGCACGCCTCTTACGAGAAGGTCTGGTTTGCTTTTTACGGGAAAATACAATTAATATTACAATTAAAAAAATCAATAATGCAATTAAAAAAATTGTTTAAACTAAATTGAAAACTTAACAAAACATATATTATTTGTCCATGTAAGAATATGTTATATCAAATTTTATAAAATTAGTATTATTTATTTTATCTACTTGAAGATTTCAAATTTTATTTTAAAACTTACTTTTTACAGTCAAAAATACTAGCTTGCCTAACTAATACTTTTCTTTCTTTCTTTAAATGATTTTTTCTAGTTGTTTTCTAGTTTTCTTGTACTTTTTTGCATTTAACATTGTTTTCTAGTAATTTTTAAACATTTTAGCCTAACTATTGATAACTCCTTATTTTAATTTAACTTAATTTTTTTATTAATGTGTTTTTAATTGCTTGTTGTCAAAAATTATAAGAGATTAAGAGTTTGCATAAAATTAAAAAAAAAGGTCATTGTTAAACAGAAATAAGAAAGTCTCAGAATATATTACGCCTTTTCTTTTTAATTAGGAATTCACTAAAAGTTTTAATTTTATTTAGCTCCTGCTTAAAACAGATGAATTTTATAGAATCTTTTATTTCAGATGACCATTGATCATCTGAAATATAGGATTCTATAATAAGTAAATACTTCATTCTATAATACTTATACAAAAATCATAGGTTCAAAAAGAAATAATGCTTATTTAAAAAAATCTAAATTATACAAAATTTTTGATATACTTTTGTAACATTCTTTTTCAATATAAATATTCTTCCTCCAACAAAAGAATTTGTTGAAATGTTTTATTATCCATTGATTTAATAAGATATAAAAATATTGTTGTATACCAAATCATGACAAATTTAAGTTGTATGTTAATAGTAAGGTTATTGTTATATATCTAAAATAAACATGTCACATATATAAAACAAACACAATCATAAAGAGCATGCATAATATAATTATAAGATATCATAGTTATCCTTAGTCGCAAATTAAATCTAATTAGTCTCTATCTTCTTTTTTTTTCTTCATAAAACATAATAAATCGATTAAACTTTACACAATATAATTATTATTGTATAATGTATTGTGTTAATAATACAAATTTTAACAATGAAAATTATATAAATAAAAATTCCAATATGTTTTTAAATATAAAAATGACAAAAAAAAAAAATCAAGTGTTAACAAAGTAAAAAAATTTTCTTAAAATATGTTTAATAGTTTGAAGAACGATTATTGTTAAAAAAATTGTTTCAGTTACTTAAAAAATTAAAAGAGGTGTTTGAAAATTATTCTTGCCCAAGTTTATAACCAACAATAAATTAAATGGATTTTATATAAGTTCTTAGTATTTTTTTAGCATTAGATAATAATTTTGGTTATGTAAACCAAATAAAGAGAGTATGGGGGCCAGCATAACCTGTATCTTATTAACCTGGTCTAAACTTGAACTTATATTTACTGAGTTAAATACAGATATTATTTATTAACTTTGACAACAAAAATTTGTTTATAATTAACATCATTAACAAATCCTTTTTTTTAAAAAAAAAAATCTTTTTATCATTTGTAATTTTACTTTAATATATAGATTTGTAACTAATTAAACTAAATTAACTTAACATGATACGACCTGTTTTAGTTCAGTTCTTAAAATATATTATATGTAAATATACTATTTATGCGATATAAACATACTGAATAATATATCAAGTGACACATTAGACCTTTTTATAACAGAAAAAATAAGACAACACTTTTATCACCTTAATTATAAAATAGATCACAAGATTAAAGAAATAAAGACAAAAGAAATTAGTAAACACACTACCACTGAGTGCACAGGGAGAAAAAAACTTACATAATCAATTTTGTTCATTTTTCAACTTGCTGTATCTATGTATATGCTTCCGATAAATAAAAATGTCCATTAACCAAAAATTAACAACTTTCTTTAAATTTTTGAATTTAACATATGTAAATTAAACTGCTTATATTTTGTTTAGACTAAAAAACATATGGAAGTAGTTGTAACGAAAGATATCCCTTTAATATGTAACAATCTAGACAATAAAGGTAGTGTTATTATTCAACTTAATTTAGAAAAGGTTTGAAAAACAAAGTCAATATAAGTTTTCTTAAACTAAAAGAAAGATCCTGTTGAGAAAACTATTTTAAAATGCTCACAACTGAGAAAGGTAATAATTTTTAACGGACTTTTTTGTTATTTTTTTTAAAACTTACGTTTTATATAGGTTAATGAAATATAATTTCTTTTGCAAAACCTTGTAAACTGTGTAATAGCTACAAGAACTTATTGTATTTTTGAGTGTTTTGTTTAGTTTGCTAACTAGTTAAATTCATCAATGTAAACAAAAAACTAATGAACTGCAATAAAAGCATGCTCATAATCACTTTTAAGAGCTTTTTAAACTTATACATTTATTTTTTAAACTTATACATTTATTTACCTATTTACTTCTTTAAAATTTTTTATTTATTTTCAAACTTCATATGCATAAAAACTTTTCACTTTTAATTTAAATTAAAATGATTAGGGGTAAAAATTTTAAGATTATTGTTACAACTAATAAATAAATTTGAGCTTAAAGGTAACTATAACTTAAATTATAAGAACTATAATTTAAAATAGTTAAATATTTAAAAAGAAAAAATAGAAGGCAAACAGAAAGAATGTTGCAAACTAAAGTTTAAAATTTTTTTTATAATATTAATGTTGTTTTTAATTTTTTAAATATTTAATTTTTTAAATTTTAAATATTCAAAATACGTTTTTTATGCAGTTACCTATTAACAAAAGTTGTAATTACATTTAAATGCAAGATGTTATTATACTTTTTTTAAATGATAAAAGTAATTATACTTAAAAAAAATTTTTTAAAATACTTTTAAATCTATAAAACACTAATAATAAATAGTTTGAGGTATTTACGAATTTTACATGAAAAGACTTCTAGAAAGGGTGAAAGTTTAGTATATATTTTTATTACATATTTATGCAACTAAAAAAAAAAAGTCTAACCAACAAATATGTTTTTCAAGTTGGAAAAAGACATATTTTTTAAATAAATATTAAGAACAAATCATAAAAATAAAAAACAAAAAATGAACCAATGCAAAATGGATAATTTCATAATAAAATATGTTATTTCAAGTCAAACATTTATAAATAGATAAATAGAATTTTGAAATAAAAATAAATTTATTATTAAAAAAATACAACAAACTATTTATTTATTTTTTAATGATTTTTTCAAAACTTTTTGTATAACCTATTATAATTTATTAAAAAGATACGAGGAAAACCACCAACAAGAGTCTGCCCTTTTTGTGGTGAGCTGCATACCAAGTTAAACAGACACATTTTAAGTAAACACCAAAAAAATGAAAAAGTTATTAATATAAAATTAAATAACAAAATTACAAAGAAAAAACTTTTCCAGCAATTCAAAAACTGTATTATGTATTACAACCGAAAACAGCTATCAGAGAAAAATCCAACTTATCTAAGAGAGAGAGTTTCTAAAACAAATGCTGAACCTGTAATGTGCACAGGGTGTTTTGGGTTTTATGCTCGCACATATTTTAAAAGACACCAAAATCAGTGCAGTGAAAATACTTGTACCTCTGTAATCCATTTACCAATTTCATCTATGGATAACAGTTGTATAAAAGACTTAAGTGAAGATTTTAAAAAAAGTATAATTGAAAAACTACGAGATGATGAAATAGGAAAAGTTGTAAAAAACGATCAAACTATTTTAATGATTGGATCTTGTCTTTATAATAAAAAAAAAAAAAAAAAAAGATAAACAAAATGAAGTCAGAAGATCAGTAAGAGCAGTTATGAGGAGATTGGCCCACTTGTATACAAACTTTAAGAAATTTGAAATTAAATCTGTATACAACAATGCAACAGACATGTTTTTGAGGTTAAATTTTAGACATCTTTCTTCAACTATTTCAAATTGTACTTCATCTGAAAATGAAGAACAAAAATCAGGACTAAAACATGCTTTATGCTACTTGATATTAAATGCAGCTGAAAAACTTGTTGGACATTTCTTAGCTCAAGATAATGACAAAGTAGCAGATGATATTTGCAATTTCTTAAAACTTTTTAAACTAGAAAAAGACAACATATTTGCAGATGCAAATTATGATCTAGTTTCAAGAAGAAATAGAAAACTTAAAAAACCAGTTAACCTGCCAGTTGAAAGTGACATAGAACTTCTGAGAAATTACACAGTAGAAACAATTAAAAAAATTGTTAACAACATAACTATATTGTGGGATTTGCATTACTTTGTGTTGTTAAGAAATTGCACAGTTACAAGGTTGACAATATTTAATGCAAGAAGAGGGTGGTGAGCCTGCAAGATTGCTTCTAAGTGATTGGAAGGATGCTGATGAAGAGGTGTGGTTAGATCAACAAAGGAACAATTGTGATAGCACTAGCAAGACCAAAATTGCTTATCAAATTGGAAAGGGAAACAGCAATGTTTCAATTTTTATTCCTCTAGACAGAATAGAGGCAATGCGAATTTTATCTGACATTAAAATTCGAGGGAATGTTTGAATAAATCTTGAAAACACATACGTTTTTGCAAGTTGGAAAAATTCGGATAGCAATTGCTCTGGATGGCATGCACTTACTAGTGTTTGTCAAAATCTACCCCTTGAAAACAAAAAAAGGCTTACTGCAACCACAAACAGACACAGAATTAGTACTTTATTAGCTTCTGTTTCTATGACAAATGGTGAAAGAAACTTGTTTTATGACCATATGGGTCATAGTGAAGCCATAAACAAACACATATATCAAGCACCACCTGCAATAATGCAGCTTGCAAAAACTGGATTAAGATTGTCGAACCTTGATAAAGGTATTAAGTTTAATATTATAATTTTACTCTTAATACATTTTTTATAACAAAATTTTTACTTTTCAAGGTTACATGTTTATGTTAGATTTAAAAATATTTTAGGTCAACTATGTGCAAGCCCAGCTAAATTTGCTAAAATAGATCATATGGAACCTATTAACAACTATGGTAATGTTGAAAATTTTTAGCTTTTTTTTATAATTAATTTAATTATTCTTTTAATTTTAAAATCAAAATTAACATGCATCACAAATTGTCAAAACAATTTGTAATCGGTGTTAATTTTGATGTTCTTTTCAGAAAATAATTTTAAAATAAATATTTCTTAAATTATATATATATATATCAGGCTTTCACAGGAAGACGTGCGATTTCACGTCTTTATATGACCACGCAAGTTACATTTTGCTATGACGGTTTGACCGCGGCTTATTCAAAAAACATTTTAGAAACGCGCTAAATAAAAAGTATTCTAAAAAAGTGAAATTAATTACATCAAAACTTCTTAACAAATGTTTTTATATTAGCGAAACAATTTTAAATAAAGTAACAATTTACTGAAAAAAACATATTAAACAAATAAAAAATTTATAAAAATGTTGAATCAAAGATTGAAAAGGTTTTTTAATGCGTAAATAAAATAGACTAAGCATTTTAGTTTGATCAGTTTTGTTTGAGATGCGTTATGTATATATATTTATTTTTTTGTGTTTTTGCTTTCACTAAGTATTTTTTTTTATTTTCTCTTTCGTTAAAATTTATCTAATTTTTAAAATTTTTTTTTTCAGATAAGTTTAGGTAAGTTTTTGTAGCGCGTTTTTAAATTTTAAAAATATGCCGTGGTCAAATCGTTAAAACATTTTTTTTTTGCGTGGTCATATAAAGACATGAAATCGCACTGTGAAAGCCTGATATATATATATATATATATATATATATATATATATATATATATATATATATATATATATATATATATATATATATATATATATATATATATATATATATATATATATATATATATATATATATATATATATATATATATATATATATATATATATATATATATATATATATATATATATATATATATATATATATATATATATATATATATATATATATATATATATATATATATATATATATATATATATATATATATATATATATATATATATATATATATATATATATATATATATATATATATATACAGGGCGCGACAAATCGACGAACGTGCGAACGTTTGTTAAAAAAAAGACAAACGTCACGTTTGCTTACTTTAACTTAAGCAAACGTTGGCGTTCGCTTAAATTTTTTAAAAACGAACGCATATCTTCAGCAATTTTTAATTTCCAAATAATTATGCGATTGATAGTTTTTTATTTATTACAAAAAAAAACATAGATAATATAAAAAAAAAATAAGTTACTAAAATTTAAAACGCAGTTTCAATGACATTCCAAGAAACCGCGCTAATACTTTCTTCAATAGCGTTTCTTTTAAGTATGCAACTGTAGAAAAAATTATATTTAGCATGTTTTTACATGCATTTACAAAAGAATGGCCAGTGTAACTTAAAATGAATGCATTTGCAATTACTTTAAACGGAACCACGCTAAAACATTCTAAATCCAAAGGCGTGCTTTTTTTAAATTTTCTTATTATCTTTAAATTAATGTTTATTTGCTGTTTTTAAAGTTTAAAAAAAAATTGCAGAAATATATAAAATTTAATAGATTTTATAGAACTATTATGTTGATTATAGTTTTTATTTTTTACTGTGCGTTTAACAGCAACCAATAATAAAATTTATTTTTATTTTAATTTTTTTTTAATACTTAATATTATAAATGTAATAATAGCATATCAGGTATTTGATAGTAACTTATTAAATTAAAAATTTAATAACTTATTAAATGCTTAATACTATTATTTGTTATTATTTTTTTTTTAAATAATTTTATTAATATTATTATTTATTATTATTATAAAATGGAAATTTTGAGCGTAGGAACGATTTGTCACTTGCCGATGCAGCGAAAATTTCGGTTGTTGGCAAAAATGAAATTTGATAAAAAAATATTTTGAAACTTCTGTTATTAAATTAAATAAAATTTAACTCTTATTTTGCATTTTATTATTAGTCTATAAATGTTAAATCTACAGTTTAGTTTTTATAAATAATAAGAACAAGCGGTACAATGTTATAATAAGTTTGTACAAATTAATAATTACGCTACATTGCAAATCAAACGGATATCGATTTAAAATTTTTTTTTTTTTTTTTCCTTTTTTTTTTTTTTTTGTCCTTTCTTTATATATTTACAATATTAACCTTTTTACAATTATAATAATTTCGATAATATAATTAACTGTTTACAAGATTAATTAAGTTTGTCAGAGAAAGAACGCGGAATCTCGTGGAAGACCTTAAGGTCTTGTCGTCGAGAACCGCATTGTTTTTCAACTAAACCGTTGCGTTTATTGTGTTAAATATATATATTTTCGTCGAAAGTAAAAATAAGAACTTAAAAGATAAGTAACATTCATGTAAATATTATGAAGTGAATTTAAAGGCTTTTACTTTATAAAAATTAAAAATATAAGGGTTTGTTATCGAAAGATAAAACTATCTGTTTAAAATTGCTTTTGAATGTGTCGTAATTCATCTCTTGAGAAAAATCAAAATATTTCAAAACTATTTTGTTCCATAAAAAAGCACCTCGATAAGAGATACAAGATCTACCAAAATTTGTATGCAAAAAAGGTTGTTGGATAAAATTTTCATTTTGAAGAGAGTATTTATTTGTTTTTATTTTGTGTGTAAAATTATAAAAAGGATAAGGGGAAGTGTTAGTTTTACATTTAAACATAAGCCAAAGAACATTATAAATATTAAGCTGAAATGCATAAAGAATATTCATTTTAAGTAAAAGAAACCTGGCATGAGTAAAACGATCTTTAAAGCTTATAAGACGTGCAATATTTGTTGCGCGATAAAGAGGTTCCATTATACTTTTATTTGCACTACCCCATGCAGTATTAGCATAATTAATATGACAATGAATAAATGAGTAATTTAATTAAGTATACTTTTATTCCTATACTTCTAGCAATTTTATTGTTTAGAATGTTAACATGATTTTTCCAAGTGAGATTAATGTTAACACCCAAGAAATTGGTAACTATAGCTCTTTTTATTTCAGTATTATCAATAAACAAATTACGTTTTGTAAAATCGGTTCGCATTATTTTTTTATTTTTCATTTATTCTTATAGAACGGAGTTTCTCTGGTTTGTCTTTAATATAAATAATTATAACTTTAAAAAACCGACAAGACAAAAAGAAGTCACTCTGAACCGGATAAACGCATTGGAAAATAGAAATTGTTGACATTTTCAATTGTGCTGAAAAAAATATATGGCAACAGTGTGGAATAAAGTCCACACTGTTGACTTTTTATAAAAAAAGTCTACCGTTGGCTTATTTTAAAAAAGACAGCGCTAGGTAAGATTTGCTATTTGCATGGTAATTGCTTACCTGACAAGAAAGTTATATAGGATGAATGTGATGAAAACTGATAACCAGTATGGATTATGTGTTCAACAAGAGGAACACAATTGCGGTCCACTTAATTATGTTATAAAATGTGGCATAATTATATGTTTATTTTGTGTTTGCAACCGGTTTACAATTTCAATAGTTTTTAATTAATAATTTTAATGAAGGTTAATGTCGGTTTAATGAAGCGGTTTTATAGTAATTATTATGAGTCTATCCACTATAAATATTTGCTAAAATGGTAACTATCAGAGTTCTATTTATTGAAATAAAAAAGCATCTTAATACATGTCTAAAAACTGCATTAGAGAAAGCATAAAAAGACTCTAAAATGGGAGACAATATAAACTAAAATGGGATAAAATATAAATTTTTATGGGTTTTATTTAATTTAATTTATATATAGATTCCAAATGGAATAAATTTTAGCTAGTGTTTAAAGGCATTGTAAAAATGTTCTATAAAGAGGTTAAAGAGGCCTAAATTGCAGTTTCGATTTCGAACGTTTTGAGGACAGTTAATATCTTAATAAAAAGTTTGTTCATTTGATTTTGTTTTAAATAAACAACACTAAATTGTAGGGCTAACTGAACAGATCATTTCTGAAACACCATTTTTGGAGAAAATGAGTCTAGGACAGAATCGTGTTATCTGAGGAAAAATACAAGTTCCCTTGAGAAATAAAATGATGTCAGACCTTTCAGCATCCGCAAGCTGAAAAGTTCTGACTTTTATTGATTTCAAATGAACTTTTATGTACCCTTAGATAACACAATTGCGTGCTTGATTCACTTTTGTCCAAAATTGACTTATGGTGTTTCTGACCCGTTTAATTGTGTCTTGGATCAATATAGATATATATTTTTTATTAGTGTTTTAATCGATAACGTCAAACTTTGTTTTTGCAAGACAAACCATATCAAACTGTTCTATGATCAAATCAAAAATCAATCGAAAAAATCTGTAGAACTAATAGATTAATCTTTGTGACTTCGGGATACAAATCAATGGTGGATTTACACCTTCGGGGGCCCTAGGCCGAATAAAGTTTAAGATTTTTGTCTTTTCATAATTTATATTTTCATAATTACGACGAGGCCACCCTATTACTTAAAGGGCGGTTTAGTCGCCCTTTCGTCAAAAATAGCACTGATACAAACTGATTTAAACTTTATTAAATATCTTCTTTAAACTTACTTAACTTAAATAAGCGTAAGTAAATTGCAGCCGCTGCATGCTGGGGTTTATAATAATGCCTATTTTTTCAATAGAAAAAGCCGCACATAGTTCACATACGCCCTTTAATAGAATACGATATTACAGGTTGGTGTTCACATCTTTAAAAGAACGCTAAACCATGTGTTAAAAGTTCCATCGTATTTTAAACTATGTAGCTACCTAAGTCGTCTGTCAATCACAAAACTTAAGACCCAATTTTTTACACTGACTTTGATTTGGTTTATTTAAAAAAAAATTGTCACTATATCAAATATTGTCACTATATCAGAAAGTCTTTAATCAATAAAAACTGTAGAGTTGCCTAAATATTCAAAATATAAAAACTAGAAATAAAACTTTAAAACATTTTTTGGTGTTATAGTGGTTTTGAAAAAT